TGAACACTATGAAAGAAATTTTTGAACACAACCACATGTTCAAAAAGAAGGCTGATGTGGCCAATTGATTCTGTGTATCTCAGGCCATATTCCTATATTGTATAAATTGCAATATATATTTTATACACATGAAAAAATAAATAATTGTATATAATTGTTAACATATTATATGTACTTTCACATATTATATTACATTTTTAACATACTATATCTTGTTGTTCACATATGATAAACAAATAGCCATACAATGAAAGTTAAATGGCGGTAGATGAATTTCTTCTATACATGTGAGTCACTTAGAAAGCTATCAATGTGTTGAGTCCAAAAAATGAACCACAAACAGAACAACGGTTGTGGTTCTGTAATTCAAAACACAACCACAACCATACATAGCCAAACACCTATGATGTTTCAAAACCAATATTTTCATTTTCAAAAAGAGGTGGCATGGCTTTGAAACACAACCACACCCTTTTTTGAACCACAAAAATAATACCCCCCTAAATGTCCTTGAAGCCCTACAATGCAGACTCAGTACACGTCTTCCATAGCCTAGAAATAGCAGCAGTTACACAGTTCAGGTCATCAAGCTTCTCAGCAAGAGAGATCTCATGAAGGTAAAAATTATGGAAGGACACCAGCTTTTATAATCCCCTCAGACTTCAAGGTCTCATTTTTTGAGCTTGGAATCTCGGAGTCAGTTAGGGATTGTGGAGGTGAACAGTTTTAGACAGGACATTTGTGGCTACAAAGCAAAGAATGCCAACAGCCCCTTTTGGTTCTGATTTTTTTTTGTGCCCTTTTTCTTGGAACATAAAGCAAAAGAGTATGCTTGAGACTAACTTTCATGATTCCCCATCTTTAAACCCAAGGTTCTGTACCTATTCCTACTTTATCTTAAACTCCCAAATTTTCACTGACATAGAATTGCGTGTATCCAACAAAACCTGGCGCTAATAGTACTGGCAGATCTAGGTTCTACTCACCAACATCTTTACCAACTCAAAAAAAAAAAAAAACAAAAATGGTCACTTTACCAGTAGATTTTGTTGACTCATTGGCATTAAAAACAGAGGCTTAAGTTTTGATGATAATGAAGGTTAGTGGTGGAAAAAAAAGAACAATTTTTTTATTGATAATTGAAAGAATCTTATTAATCACAAGGATAAGAAAGTACAAGCTCCCCAAGGAGAGGCACAAGATGCGACCTCTCCATACTAGTAAAGAACAGCTTTCCAAATCACTAAAACAAGTTACAAGGTAGCACAAAAAAGATCTTCCCTGGAGACCCCAAGTTTGGCCAAAGAATCAGCCATAGTATTTGCCGACCTGCTCACCTAAATTAACATCCACTCTCATATTACTAGTTAGCCACTTCACTTTTTTGATGAGGTCTCTGTATCCCCAAATGACAGCATCCAGGTTTGAGAGCCAGCCTATTACCACCTGAGAATCCCCTTCAATTTTTTAAAAAAAAAGAACAGTTTCAATAACGAAGTTGAGCCTATTTGAAACCCTAAGGCACAAATGAAAGAGGAAGGTTGAAAATGGGTAAATACATATGGGATGCGGACGCCAGTAATTTTTTTGGTCAAAGTGTCAATAAAAAAATATAAACCTAAATATGAGATCAAGTTGCTTGATTTACTTGAAAATGATCAACACTGTTCCCATTGTCCTAGTCAACTGAGTCAATGGTTCACCAGTCCAGCCCACCAGGTCCTAGATCAAGCCAATAGTTA